CCTGCCGTTCAAGGGAGATACAGAGGCAGAAGTCTTTCAAAGAAAGCTAACAAGTGCAATAAGGAGAACATTTTACGCTGCACAACTCAAAGCTATGTTCACATCTAAACCGATTTTGTGTTTCCGACTGAAGGATAGAGTGCCAGATTCTGCAGCCTCATTTTGCGTATATTCATTCACCTGTTCCTGTGGGACTGGATACATCGGGCCGCACGATCAGGCGCTTATCCGATCGCGTTCGCGAACACCACCCGGCTTGACTGAGGACTGAAACAATTAAGACAATTACGAGCGTGGTGTGTTCGCAACTTGTTGAGTCAGATCACTCGGTAAATGTGGCAGACTCGTTCCGACCGATTTACAAGGTTCGATGCAGGCAATCAAAAGCAGTGAAGCGTCGTATCTTAGCCACGGCCGAAGCCGTAAGTATTCGGATTCACCAACCCCCCTTGTGCGCCTAGAAGAAATTTATGCAATCACTTGAACCTTTGACACTGTGATCAATTTTCACACAAACACGCACGCATGATTGGAGCCACAGCTGAATCATTAGGACTCGAATTTTCTCATCCCCTGTTTCGTTTCTTATAGTTAGTCATATTTAATGTTGTGTAATGGCATGATTACGAATTCCCTAATCATTGGTTATTCCAGTGACCATGTCGTGCACGTGGCAGCGCTTGCAGCAAACTATGATTGAATTCCTCAAAATGTTGCCCATCCGCATCAGAGTATGAAAGTGGTTATTTCGGAGAGAATCAGGGAATCACAGACTGACTCCTTTAAAGGTTGACTTTACGCGTTCCTTTGTGTTTGTAAGGGAGCGCGTATTGCAATACGAAGGTTTGCAAGTGAGTACAAGGACCGCCTACCCGGATGCAACAATTATCACGTTTGTCATATCGTCACCGTTCTCCTGATAATCCGCGTTGCTTTTGCCACTTTATTATTTGCTTATGATGTCATCAGGTCAAGTCACGGAAAACTTCAACACCCAACGGTTGAGTTCTCAACAGTTTGCACTATGGACCTACACTGAATTACGAATGAAGTTCGGTATTGCAGTACTGGAAAAATTCTAATGCTGTTCTTTCATTAGGTCGGTGATAATTGTTGTACAATCGACCAAGAAAGGGACGAGGTGTGGAATAGTACAGTCACGATACATTAATGCGTATCCAAAGGAGCAGAAATTTAAAGCGCGTTCGGGATCACAAGAACCTCCCTGACTTTGCGATGCGCACAGTGCACTTCATCACCGGTTATCCTATCAATAAAACATCACTGGGTCAAAATAATTGGTAGTAAAAAGCGGTTCTGAAACATTTGGATCCCGTAATAAATTTGCACAGGCAGGTTGGAAGACACTCAAAGGAATTCCTTTCGTATACTTTTGAGTCGCGTACGTATAACAAAAAAAGATCAATGTGAAATAAATTAGGAAATCTAGTTTAGTCCGGTGCGTGTGCGTATATATGATTGGTCATAGTCAGAGTGGGCCAAGCGCTTTTGAACACAAGATGCGTTTTTGTGAGCGATTGATAATGACCTCACTAACCTTGGTCGGTGTTTATCGCCATGACATCACAAAACCGGGAACACGATCGAGAACGGTCTTGTCTGCACCATTGTATCGGGACAAAAGTTTAAAGGACTGTGAAGATTAAGGGACTGCATGTATTCACAAGGTTAAAGGGGACGATTGATTTTCTGAGCTTGTGTGGAAAGATCGTCTGAAAACTTGTGAAAACGTTTTCGACATGAGTGGACTAGGAAAGGTCTTAAGTGAGAACGACATTATCTCCGATGGATCTCAGATTAGAGCATTTCGAAGAAAAAGCTGAGTACAATTACGAACAAGGGCATTCACTATTGTGGATAAACTTGATTTTTACGCAAAACGAAGGGCCTCACGTGAGTTTCACAGGACCATTGGGTGCAGCAGAACATTTTCAAAATATTTCAGCACATGGGTACACCATCATTGTACTGCGAAATACAAAGAAGCGAACTTCACTGATCGCTGCCAAACTCGCAATGCATATGCATTGGGGTTTGATGAACGGGTACTGCTGGGTGTCCAGCCACTAAGCAGGCAATGAGACGATATTCAGACGGGAACTGGCCTCATCCAAACTAAATTCCAGATGATACACACGTTTAACAATTCAGCAGGTTTCAAGCTCTTCCGCACATTTTTATAACAAGGTTGACAATAATTTGGGACATTAAGCTTTCCTTGTCTTGAGTGCTCTGGGTATTTAGAGAATTTTACCTGGCGAGGGTGTTAGAAAAGGCGATTTTAGAAGGCTGGATCGAGGTACAACGATTTCGTTCATCACATATGGCACACATTCGGCATACGTGCTACTGTAAGATGGACCGCATGTCAGAACAGTTCTAGTCACCGCGAACTGTTCCAACCACTATGTGTTTCTGGCGTCTTCANTACCGTTACCCCTTTCGGCCACGTAAGCCTTCTCATTAGCACGACGACCTCGCTTGGGCAGAGAAGAGGACAACCATCGGTTCGAGAGAAAGTAAGTTAGACTGGGTAACGCTGAGCGTATCAGAAATCAAGATGATAAGCGTTCCGCAAAGTAAAGAGACGCATTTATTTCTGATCATTATGAAGTCCATTTCAGAAACCAAATCACCAAACTTAGCTCTCCAGGAAAATTTCGTCAAGTTTAACCTAGGGATATTAGGCTGCCTCAAGGGAATTCAATTCACCAGCTGTTTCGATAAAGCCCCAGTAAAGAATTTTGCTAACTGAAAAATTAGATGTCAGTTGAATTTTGATACAACCTTGGTTGACGAATGCGATCACCCTACCTCTTTGAGAAAAACTCACAATCCGATCGGTTCTAAACATGTCGCATCCGTTAAGTCCGACTACAGCATTCTCAATACCTGGATGTAACCAACGTTCTTGGAGTAAGATGATTACATGTTTTTCATGTACAATTTTTTGGCTTCATCCACTTTCCTCAAGAGATGACGAGTGGCATTTGAAATGCCCGAAAGTGTCATCCTTCTACTGATGTGACGTCATCTCAGTGCAACTAAACTGCCAGTACGATGGGTACAGTCGTAACTTTCACTCTTCAACCGGAATTGGCAAAAGGCGAGTTGAATGTCCGGGAGCAAAAGTATGCAGAGACCGTGGGACACCGCTTGACTGTAAGAATTTCCATGGATGTAACAGTACAAGTGAGGTGATATATGTATATATGGAGAGAGAGAAAATTCGTCAATGGCACGGTTGAATTCAAAGCCCTTCTATCGAGTTTTAGGACAAATCTCGAAAGAACGAACTGACACCTTCACCTTTTTTCTACTCGCCAGCCCTCGTATCTTACATATTATACTATATTATATCATTATTATTATATTATGTTATATATATATATATATATTGCCGTAGTGTTACAAGAGTGCTAACTTTGTTTTTCATCTCTTTAATTTACCATTGCAGAAGTGATCTTTCCCGGAGACAACCCGCCTGCTATGCCAGTCAGAATCTTATCCTGTTCTGTGTACACCGTGCCATCCTTTGCGAACATTTGGCCTACCAAACCCTCAACATACCCTGTCCCCAGACTGGAGGCGGTGGATAAACCAACAGTGATTGTTACCGACGAGCAAGAACGCCGCCAACTTCATTATGACCCCCATAATACGAACATCTTTCGATTGGCAGAATCACCACCGACTACTTCTGAGTTCAGCCCGAGAAAGCAGAGGTCTCCGTGGGCAGTCCAAATAAATAAATTGGCCTTCAGGCTCGAGGGTCCCGCGTACATCGTGATTCCATCTAGTAAGTTTTTCCCTGTTGGTCATTTGGATTTTCTTTTTCATAACATTCATCGCGCGTATCACCAGATCTCGAATGTGATGTTTGTGGTCAAACTTGAACATGTACGTTTGAAAATGTTTTACTGTACCTCTTGGATTGAACAAAAGAATAATAAATCCGGCAGCACAAGCGATTTATAGCAAAGTGCAGCGAAGCAGCATTCTTGTATCATCATCAAACTTAAAATTAAGCACATGTGTAGGATTGTTAGAGATTCTATCTGCTCCCGGATTAAAAATGCATAAAGGATCAGTGTAACCGACATATCATACAGCCCAACTGCATACACAGTAACAGTACTGTGAAGTGACATTTCACATCATTTAGCTAAAACCCACTCCTAGTAAACCTGTCACGAGGATTCATGATTCTGCTGTGGAACCCAGCATCAGAAGGCTTTGGTTGATAAAATACTCAAGGTTTCATAAAGTCCTTCCTTGTGCTTCTGCTTTGTTTTCGTAAACTTGTACCTTGAATCTAACTAGCGTATATATGCATACTGTTTTGTCTTTAGCTGCTGCTTCGACATCCCTATCCCGGGTGTCATTTGTTTTTTCCTCAAACCGATATCTTAATGAGCACTTTACGTAGGTTGTTGTCATTCGTAGTGTCCTCTTACACTAACTCGGTAGACATCTACGCAGTATCATTTCCTTTTAAACTCAAATTCTTGTTTCATTTGAGCTATTTTCTCTGTTTCCTCGTTTCAGGCGTGCCGTACAAATTCATCAATGCTCATAGCGTTGATCTCCAACTGGTTCGGTCCGTTGTTCATTGCGTGTAACTGATTCCGGTTCCAGATTAACTACTTTCCGACTAATTTTATATCCTTGTAAACGCATGTCCTCTTATCCTATTTGACTTTTCCTTGTCTTTGCATCATTGTTCAAAACTTAACTCGCTCAACTACGCAAGCCGCATTATCATTTGAGTGCTCTCGATCATTTCCTCATCAATCTGTTTCATTGTAAGACGTTCCATTTTTCGCATTTAAATATGGATATGAATTTGAATTATCTTATTGTTCATGTGTTTGACCATCAATGCCCATCGGAAACCTGACAAGAACAGGTTATTCCCACTAGTCTCATTCACATAAGGATGGCATCAAGTCGTCATCCGTGTTACAAACATTGGTGGACGTATATCACCAGCTCGTGATGACCGCCGAATTACTATAGGTTAATTGATCGACAAAGGGTCCGAGTAAACAAAATTAAGTCCTCGAACTGCGGGTATCGAACTCATTCTCAGAACCGGAGGACACGAACCGCTAAGTGACATGTAGTCACAGCTCCCAACTATCTTTTATTGACAATGGACTTGCGAGAAAACGCTTCGACTGAAAACTTGCTTCCGTTTAACCCTTGAATACTGCATCTGATAAATAGACTCTGGCGGAACAGCTTGCACGACAGCTGGTGGGGCTATCAAAATCAAATTTGGATATATAAAATAGGATATATTACTGACAACCTTCTGCTTTATTAGTTTTCTTAGTTGACTTCGTTTCCTTACACACGGGTGTACTACATTCAGAATCGGTTCTAATTATCTGAGGAGAAAAGGCAGCAAACATTTCGGCTGTGAATTTAGGATTTTCCGTTTTCAGTTTCTTCTTCGTAGGAACGGATTCCGGTGACTCAATTTTGATAGCGAGTCGTGATTCCGTAACTTCCGGATTAATTGATGTCGACAGTTGACGTTTTCGGGATTGGGTTACCGGGGATGGAGGCTCCGTTGTTAAGCACAATCTCGCTCCTGATTCCTCTATTTTTACTGTCACTGAATCTGTTTTTCTGACTTTTCTGGGTTTTTTTACATTTGGCTCCAAATTCTTGTCGGTATCATTTTCATCTGAGCTGTGTGAGCCAAACTTGTCTAGGACTGCCTGGGGTGCCTCCGTGGACCTAGAAATCACTGATAATAATTCGCCCCGAAGGACGAAAGATCCGAGCTGTCGCGTTGTAGATGAGAGCCGAACACGAACGACATCACCCAAATCTAATATGGTTTGCCGATTTGCACCGTTTTCGTCCACCGGTGATTGAACCTCACACATACCACTGTCTGCACAACGAGTCACAGCTATCAGCACGTCATCCACTTCGGTCTTGCAAAACACCTGGTGAGGTTGTAGCGCAGACACTGTTGCAGTTAGCTCCAGGCCACATCGAGGAATGAATACCCGCACTCGAATCTGGGCGTGGATATATAGAGCTGGCAGCTCAGGTCGTAGTGGAACAATAAACTGAGGGCGACTGTGTCGATGTAGGTTGGATATGTCGATGCAGGAGGAAATTCGCAAAGTCTTTTTTTCATATTCCAACAGCAAACCGCTCAATTCCGGAACGAACTCGTTTACCTGGGATGATACATACTTCATTATGGCACGCGTAACGCGATTGTAGTGAACGGGATACAGTGGAACAACGAACTTCCATAGGACATTTTCCATAGTTTGGTACCTGGAAAAAAGAAGGAATGCTCTTTTTGATGACACGAGATTTACAATTCCTAAAAGGATACACCTACTTATGTGTGCACCGTTTGCTCATTAAATGTAATGAATTGCACCGTGTTTCAGCGCGTCCCGAGACAATAAGTGGGGCATGAGGAATCTGCACTGACACCTGATGAAAAGCATAACGAGGTGGAAGGAACCTCAATAAGGCATAATGAGAATGATGAGGAAGCGGACAACTGTTTGCGGGTAGTATGATGTCATTCCATTCACATACGCACCCCTCCAGTTGTGGAAAACCAGTAACTAAGATGAGAAGACGATCGTTTCTATTATCGCAAAAGTGCCGATTGATCGTTGAGGTAAATCGATCTGTGCTGGAAAGAAGGCCTTGTATAGTTCTGAAGACGCTCCGGTTCAATACCACAACTAACCTATCGGGGCCTTATGTGGTTCACCACTCCAGGTCCCGGGTCTTAGGTTACCGGTTAAACCATTTGAACAGCAGGCCTTTGTGGTTATGGGGCTTTCCCCATCTGTTGTTCATCACACGAAAGTGTGTAGTAAAAAATATATGCTTCAGCCCGCCTAGTACCAGTTATTTCTACAGCAGTCAGTGGATAACATAGCGTTAATAAAGAATAAATAAGTGTTGCAGTTGAGTAGTTGATAGATATCAGATTTACGGAATAAGGAAGTTTGGAGAAACAGCTTTCGATTTGCCTACAGTAAGGCAAAAGATATGAGAGTTTGTTAGTAGAACGTGTCATAACCGCAAGGAATGATCTTTGGTCTTTTCATTTTACTTCGTTTTATTGAATATACAAAGATACAATTTTCAGGAAGGGGGAAGCGGCCAATCAAAGGGCTGCCATGCAACAGACAAATGGGGAAGTCAGACGGGGTGATAATTTGGTGACGTTACCACCGCCAGATCTTGATGCTGAATTCCCGAATGATCGTCTTGCAATGTTTTTCATCCAAAAAGAGATTCCACACATGGTAAAACAGAAAACGGTTGAAAGTAAGCATTCCTTAAGAGTATAAAGAGCATTCCTATTAAGAAGGAAAAAGAGGACAGTGGAATTCATAAACAAAACGAGTCGCTGACTGGATCGTAGTCAACCTTCTTTATTGGTTGTCGGTTCCGAGTTCGATTCTGTTCGATTACGACACTACCGGGTCAAACTGCTCACGGGATATTAGGTTGCAGTTATATATTCACGTCACAGTCCGTGAGCTCGTCACTAACCCAACTCTTGTAACGTGGCTTCCGATGACTCTCCGAGATGACAGTGCCACCATTTTGGGTTAACGCCAAATCTCTAAATTCCCGTGTCCCTGTCGACCCAATAGTTAACAGCGAAAAACGACAGGTTATTCAAAGGAAAATTGCATTACTCTTTCAGGAACACCAGTGGTTGTTCCTAGTCTACTCCCAAGTCCGTCTCAGATAACCAATATTAGGTAAGCAGCTGCAGTAATAACTCAGATATAGTAGGCACTTTCATTATATATCACATTTCGCACACATCTGAGGCCAGATTGTGTGCCAAACAAATCCCAGTACGATAATCTTTATAAGAAAGAAAAATACTCAAGTTACTCGTGAGCGGAATATTGCCTAGCCCCAAAGCAGGGCAATTTACGATCAGAGCCTTTGACTAGCCGAAACCTGACTCGCAAGGTATCAGCGCGGTGTGCGAAAACCGTAATCAATTGAGGGCCGCTATCTAGGTCATCGTATCATGCACCCTTTGGACAGAGTCAAACGTCCAAAGTGCTCAATACACCTCGATGGCACTTTGAAGGTGCAAAGCACATACCGAGTGTGGCCACTGCACTTGTTAATCTATCAAGTGCACTTTGCGCGTCCTCCATACATTCGAACAGACAGATGATATCACCGGAGTACTCCAAATCGTATAGCTTTTCTCCAGCTGTTCATTCAATACCTACCTTAGTGCGCTTCCAGTATTTTGTTTACGACGCAATTGAACAGGAACGGCGACAAGAGAGCACCCTTGACGAACGCCGCTGCTGGTGACGAACAGCTTACTTAGTTCGTTGTAGAACCTTACACGACCGGAGGTATGTGAATACAGTGACCTCAGTAGGTTAACGTACTTCTGGGGCGTTCCTTTTCGATGAAGGCAGACCATCAGAGCTTCGCGGTCAACTGAGTCGAAGGATCCTTTCAGGTCAATACTGCAATCGTTGGCCGACGGTGAGTATGAAGCAGCTCAAGGATCTGACGCAACGTAAAAATCTGATCAATACATCCACGGCCAGGCCGGAATCCAGCTTGCTGTTCATGGATGTTGGTCTCTCTTAAAGGCGTCAGACGTCAAAGTATAACAGAATCTAGCATTTTGGTGACAATCGGGATCAAACTTATCCCGCGGTGGTTTTCGCAATTGTTGCGGGATCCCTTCTTGAAAATGGGAACGATCA